AGGGGTTCTGGCCTGGGAGTCAGCCTGGGTTTTGGTGGCAGCTCCACCAGGAAAGATCTGTGTGACCTTCAGAATTCACTTCCCTCTACAGTGCTCATTTTCCTTATCCATCAAATGTCAGGTCAGTTGATCTTTAAGATGCTCCCCTCCCCTGCCATCACCAGCTGATTGCCCTAGCCTCAAGAGACATCATTCATTCCAAACCCGTTCTCTTAGCCCCCACCCAGAGCCTGCTCACTGGACAAACACAGGAAGGAGATGTTCCTGAAGGTGAGGACGTGGATTTAGCCTAGATCCACCTCGATGTCAGGCTGAGTCTTCAACTAGACCTGCCACGTCCCAGCTCGCTCCATTCACAAGCAGGATGGGGAGAGTGTAGATAGCTTGGGGTGGGCCAGCATTACTGCGGGACACTGCTGGACACATCAACTCTCCTTCTCCAGGGACCTGGAACAGCCTCCTGTGATCAGACCTGTACATTTATTTCTTCAGGAAAACCTGTGTGGTGCACATTCAGCGGGATAAATAAAGACTACAGCTTAGTCTCTTGTCCATTCAGGACAGGTTTTGCCATCTTGTACATTTGGTTTTCAGGCATTTGGGGATAAGGGAGCAAGGATCCGTTCTAAGGCCCGTGGGTCGTTGCACAGAGAGGGCGCCTATCCAAGGCTTCCCTGCCCTCCTTCCCCCGCCTGCTGGGGACCAGGCAGGAGACCGGGTTGGTTAGAGCTGAGGCGGCTGAGTTGCCAAATAGGAAAACCAGCGACTGCGCCCCGAAGACCAGGCCGGGCGTTCCCGGGCTGCCTGGGCCGTGAGTCACCGGGCGTGCAGCAGGCAGTGCAGGAATGTGTCCCGGCCAATCGCTACGCAGGGGATGGGAGGCGGGCAGGCGAGGGCACGGCTGAGCTGAGCCTCTGCCTGGGACTAAGAAAGACCCTTCTGCAGGCCCCTGCGGGCCCCTGCGGGTCCAGGGTTGCCGGATGCTGCCCTGCAGGGTGGGGGGGAGGACACACCCCCTATACACACACACACACACACACACACACACACACACACACACACACACCCTAAATGAAATGAAATGGAATAGTACACTTTCCATTTCTATTGGTTTGTATTTCATCCTTTGACGTTTTAATTTAATTTTTAATTTTTTCTAATAAGTAGTACATTCAAAATATAAAGATACAAGAGTCTCAAAGAGACATTTGTACCTCCATATTTATAGCCACATTATTCACAATAGGAAAAAGGTGAAAGCAAGGGTGTCCATAGAGGGGTGAATGGATAAACAAAATGTGGTACATACAGACAATGAAATATTAGCCCTAAAAGGAAACGTTGGATATTTTGTGCCAATCCCTTCTGGCCTGCAAAGTTACTGTTCAGAAATCAGCTGCCATTCTTATGGAAGCTCCCTTGTAAGTAACTACCATATTTCCCCATGTATAAGACGAACCCTTTTTCGAAAAATTTCAGGTCTAAAAACTGGGTGCATTTTATACAGTGGTTGTAGAAAGATGCACTGTTTTTAGACCCCAAATTTTTCAAAAAACAGTGGGTCTTATACATGGGGAAATATGGTAATTGTCTTTCTCCTGCTGCTTTTAGGATTCTGTCTTTGTCTTTTACCATTCTACTTTTACCATTCTAATTTTAATGTGTCTTGGTGTGGGCCTGTTTGGGTTCACCTTGTTTGGGACTCTCTGTGCTTCCTGGGCTTGTATGTCTATTTCCTTTGCCAGGTTAGAAACGTTTTCCGTCATTATTTCTTCAAACAGGTTCTCAATCCCTGGCTTTCTCTCTTCTCTTCCTGGTACCCCTATGATGCAAATCTTGTTATGCTTCATGGTCTCTTAAACTACCTTCATTGTTTTTGGATTGTTTTTTCTTTTTGCTCTTCCTATTGTGTGTTTTCAACTACCTTGTTCTCCAAATCACTGAATCAATCCTCTGCTTCATCTAGTCTGCTGGGGATTCCTTCTAGAGCATTCATTTCAGTTATTGTATGCTTCACATCTGACTGGTTCTTTTTTATGGTTTCTATGTCCTTTTTTGCACTTGCTATCTTTTTGTTGAAGTTCTCACTAAGTTCCTTGAGCATCCTTATAACAATTGTTTTGAACTCTATCTCTGGTAGGTTGCTTGCCTCCATTTTGTTTAGTTCTTTTTCTGGATTTTTCTCCTATTCTTTTATTTGGGACATATTTCTTTGTTTCCTCATTTTGGCTGCCTTCCTGTGTTTGTTTCTGTGTAAGAGGTAGATCTGCTGTGTCTCCTAGTCTTGTTGGTGGCCTTATGTAGTAGGTGTCCTGTGCGGCTCTGGCACAGTCTCTCTGGTCACCTGCACTGGGTGTTCCAGGAGTGTCCCTCATGTGGGTTGTGTGTACCCTCCTATTATAGTTGAGTCTTGATTGCTATTGGCACATCAGTGGGTGTGATTGACCCTCAGGCTGATTGGCTATTGGGTTTTGTCCCATCCACAGCTATGGGCTTCTGTGTGTGGGGCTTACCCCACTGAATGGGATTCACCCAGCAGGCTCTGGTACCTATTAGACCGCGCTTTGTGTGTACCACTTGAGGGGCTAATTGGGCAGTGCTGTGCTGTGGTTTGAAGCTAACCTTCAACTATGTTGGTTCTGGAGTGTCTTGGGAGGGGCTGTGGTGCAGGCATAGGTCACCCACTGGTAGGAGCTACAAAGTGATCCATGGTTTTTTGCTGCCTGTGCTAAACCTGGAGGCATGTGGGAGAGGCCACGCTGCAAACTGAGGATGGCTGCCACCTATACTGGGCCTGGGATATCCCTGCAAAAAGCCAGGACACATCGAGGCCTACTGCCACCTGCCAGCTCCCTTAAAGTTCAGCAGCTGATAAAGCCCCGTGTAGTATGAATGTTGGAAGAGGCAGGGTCTCAGGGAATCAGTACAGTGGGAAACATGTGGTCACCAGGTTAATGTAGACTCTAGTTTGGTGTCAGTGCTGAGCCTGGAGCTACTCAGCAAAAGTCTCAGATCACACCGAGGTCAGTCGTCACCAGCCTGGGGCTCATGGACTCCGATAGTTTTCCAAGAAAGAGTGCAATGTAGGTGGGGCTGGCTGCTCACAAAGAAAGTGGCTCGGCGTTGGGGGAGTTAGGTGGGGCAGGGTCCCAGTGAGTCAGCAAGGCAGAGCGGTAGAGCTCCCCAGACCAATCAGATTCAGATTTGGCCGTAAGCGTAGGAGGAGGACTCAACAGATTAAAGATGGCGGCTGCCTGCCAGCTGCACGGGAACAGGACCCCTCACAGGAAAATGGGACTCTCCTCCAGCTCTGGCCTCGAAGCCACACACCTCAGTCTGCTCCCCCTGTGCTTCTGACACCCCAAGTCACTGTCCCTCCGCTGGAGCCCAAGGTGAGTGCCTTTGAGCAACTGAGTCTGTGCGCAGGCCATTTTAGAGGATGTCTGGGTTTCCTGCAGCCTTCCGTCCATTTGGATGGTTGGAATGCTCACTGTCTTTCACAGCCAGATGTTGTGGGAGTTCCTCTTCCTGGCACCTGTACTCTGGCCTGGAGAGCCTGGAGTGAGCCTGGGGTCCTTCTCCCCTTCACGGGGGGAACCTCTGCAGCCAAGGTATCCCTCCCTATTTGGGTCCAGCCTGGTTCTCGTCTCTGCCCTTTCTACCAGTCTCAACGTGGCTTCTTTATATCCTCAATTATAACTTCCGTTCAGCCGGACTTCAGCTGGTTCTCCAGGTTGATTTTCTATAATTTGGATGTAAATTTAATGTGTTCACGGAAGAAAGCAGGCACAGTATTTATCTGCTCCGCCATTTTGGCTCTCCTCCACTATTTATTTTTTTTATTGTAGCCGTGCTAGAGGGTGTAAAGGGGTATCTCATGTGTTTTTTGTTTGTTTGTTTGTTTTTGAAAGATTTTTTGGGGGAATTGGGGGAGGGAACAGCATTGGGGAATCGGGGAAAGGGAACAGAAAAGTTGCTGTCGTTTTGTTCTACAGTCTAGTTGTGGAGGACGTTGCTTCACTGGCCCAAGTTGGCACCATC